GACTACTCATAGCTCTAGGGCTAGAAGCTGGGCATAGAAGCTGCCCTATGTATTTTTAAATTCCTGTGACCCCTGACAGTGGAAGGATTGAGAGAAAATCAATCTGACTGAATTACACAATTGTAAAAGTATCTATGAATTGGTTGCAGATTTTTGAAATTCAACATTTCAATGCAAGATGTAAGTGAAATTTCAAATTTTAACAAAAAAGACAAAGTTTTGGATGGAAATTTGTGTTAAAACTACATTTTACTACCAATTTTGATCACCTCTACTCTATGGCCCCAACTCCTTTCCTCAACGGCCAAATTCCTTGTTAAGGCAAAGGTGCTAATTCAAGGGCTACCAGAAATCTATAGCAGCTCATCAGTCATTTTTGCAAATCTTGTTCTCCTGTTTGGAAGAGAAGGTTAAGAGTTTTCAGTCCTCATTTTTACCAGCTACCCTTAATGGGGCAGACACATGCAGAGACCTTACATGTCCCTTGGGTGCATGCTAATGACAAAGTCTAAATCTTGACAATCCCGTGAAATCCAAAGGCTGATAACTTTTGATGTGGAGTCCCTATTTACCAAATACCGGTGGCTACTCTTTGGCATTTGATCAGAGAGAGAAAGTGGAGAGCTCCCATCCCTATTAATTCCATTCTGGTTCCCTAAATGCCCCCTACAATTTCAACTGGACACTCTATTCTTCTGTACTTCTTGTCCTCTGCTGTGTTCCATTGCAGAGGTGGCTGCATTTCAGTGGTGGGTTAAATATTTTGGCATCCTTTGTTATACCAATAGAATAAAAACCAGCAGGATCTTATTAAGAGGGATAAGGCAAAGATGCCACATTTATTGTAAATATAATGATAAAGCAAAAGATAAAAGTAAACAACGTTGTTTGACTACTTATTCCTATCACTACTTATTCCTTATACACACACACACACACACACACACACACACACACACACATAGATAGATAGATAGATTCATTCACACAATCATTCATTCAAGTTCTGTATAGGTGTTATAGTTACCGGCCTAGAAGTTGCTCATGCCAAGTTACTGGCCAGGCATCTTGGTCAGGAGGATGGAGCCGAGTCTGTGTCAGGTGCACCTGATGCTCCTGGAGGCTGGCAGCAGAACCAGAGACTCAAAATCCTCAGTCTTGAGTGTCCATTCTTATAGGAATTAATTCCTATGTTAGTCTATGGGAGCTGTTTCATTCTGCTGTTGCTGACTCAATCAGCAGATGGCACATTCCTGGTGGCTCCAAACTGTCCAAAGTTTGTGTTTCTCATCCTTCCAGGTGATGGGGTGGATCCCAGTTTACCCTCCGAGGGTTCTGGTGGTCCACTTTACACATTCTTCGGCCGATGGCTACTCCCTTTCTAGGCTGGCACCTCCCTAACCATTCATGTACATCAAGCATTCATCAACATACATTCCATAACTTAACCATATTTTAATTTACTGTCTCCACCACTTTCAGGGTGTGTGCTAATTCATTTGAGACTCCCGACCCTTTAATCCCAGAGGGTGGGGGTCTAGGAGCCGTTGCTGTTACAATGAAGTGAAAGTCACTTAACAGCTTATAGTGTTTGTTTACATTGTATCAATTACTTCAAGAACAAAGTCAATTAACTTGTTTGTAAGTTTTACATAGTAATAAAGTATCTTTCACAGGATAGATACAATCAATGGTTTCTACAGACAGTAGCTTACAAGTTTTAACAGAAGACCCAAGAGATTTTTGTACTTGGTGAAACTGTTGGATTTTAAAGTGTGGGGGACAAATTATTGGGGGGTGTCACTGTCACTTGGGGGAATCACTGTTAGTACCTTCTTTAATATTCCTACACCTTTGGGATAAAAATCCCAACAGAAATAAAAAATATTATTTTTTTCCTTTTCTGTTCAATGGAATACTCAACCCCCCTAGAAACTCTTCATTCCGCCCCTACCCTCAAAATAGCTTTCCCTCGGACAGAGCCAAACACAGCTCTCTGTATCCCATCAATGAGTTGATTAGAGCAGGGGTAGGCAACCTATGGCACAGGTGCCGAAGGCGGCACGCGAGCTGATTTTCAGTGGCACTCACATGCCTGGGTCCTGGCCACTGGTCCGGGGCGCTCTGCATTTCAATTTAATTTTAAATGAAGCTTCTTAAACAGTTTAAAAACCTTATTTACTTCACATACAACAATAGTTTATTTATATTATAGACTTATAGAAAGAGACCTTCTAAAAATGTTAAAATGTATTACTGGCACACGAAACCTTAAATTAGAGTGAATAAATGAAGACTCGGCACAGCACTTTTGAAAGGTTGCCGACCCCTGGACTAGACGAAGTTGCTGTATTCTCAGTCCTGGTCCTTGTAGTTGCAGGATTTCTCTTTCCTGCCATCTGGATCAGCCTTCACACCTCTTTTCAAATGGCTTTCCCTGTGTTGTGATTTATTGTTTAGCTCTATGCCAGTGTTGTTTATCTAAATGCTGTGGGATGCAGTTTGAGAGGCTATATATAAAATACACATATGATATGAACTCCAAAGCAAAGGAGGAGGTTAATGGAAAAATAACAGCCTCTAAAAACGACCTCTGAGCATGGAAAAGTAAATATACTGCTCTGTTTTTGCAAACATAAAAGACAATTTAGGGTTTCCTAAGTAGAGCTGTTAATAATTCTCATTTTCATTCCCCCTGCCTGAAGTTTTATAAGTCTACCGCAGGATGGCACTGTTGACATACAAAAGAGATGCAGGTGTAATTCTCCTAATAACATTTTCATTCAATCTATCAGCAACCCTTAAACAAGGTTAGATGGTACTGTGGTAGACCAGCCTGTGCCTTGTCTATATTATCTCTCTGCCCATTGCTAGTACCAGTGGAGCTGAGCTAGTGGTAGTGCAAGACACAGAAATCACAGTGATAAAAAATGTCCCAGTTGCCCACCCAAGAATATGTAGTTGCAAAAGCACTTCCTAGAACAACTGCTTACAAGTTCTCAAGATAATTGCTAGGTCAACATTTTGATCTGTGGTCCCAGGGCCGGCTCCAGGGTTTTGGCCGCCCCAAGCAGCCAAAAAAAAAAAAAAAGCCGCGATTGTGATCTGCGGCGGCAATTCAGCGGGAGGTCCTTCGCTCCAAGCAGGAGTGAGGGACCGTCCGCCGAATTGCTGCTGAACAGCTGAACATGCCGCCCCTCTCCCAAGTGGCCACCCCAAGCACCTGCTTGGTAAGCTGGTGCCTGGAGCCGGCCCTGTGTGGTGCAGTAGAGTGGTGGGTACCTAATACACAGTACAGTTAATTGCAGGGAGTATGTTAGCTATGTGGCTGGATGAGTATAGAAGTACTGGCCACTTTAACACACACCACTACATGGTGTATTTTATACAAAGGTCTCAAAACACCTTTACATCATTACTATAAAAAGATGCACAATGATGGTCATTATGCACAAAAAGGCCCCCATCCTATGAACAATTATTTGGAAACTAGTGGGACTACGTACCTACTTAAAATAAAGCATATATGTGTTTGCAGGAATGGAGGCAAAAATAACCATCTGCTTGTACAAGTGCCTATTTTGCAACCTGCAGTTGTGTTACTCCATGTAGAAATGTAAGTATGGTGTTTCATGTGTATTTTTGAATGAACAAATGGGCCTTTTTAAAAGACATATTTTGGAACTAATTAATTCAGCCTTCTGTGAGTGGAAAAGTGTTCTTATCTTCATTTTATAGATAAAGAAAAGGAGGCACAGAGTGGGGAAGGCCCAGATGCCCAAAGGGACTTAAGTGTTCTTCAACTCAGGGTTGAAACACCTACCCCCTAGGTGCCCTGCTAGCTACAGAAATTTTCAGCCCCGAGCTAAGCACCCAGGTTCACCATACAATGCATGGAGAGAGTTAGGCACCTAAGAAAGAGATCCACAAAGGCTGAACGGGAAGCTACCTACATTAGCTAGTAGGAAATGCTAAGGAGAGGGGAAGGGAGTGGAGAGGGGGCTTATACATGTAAGTAGCTGACTGGGTGCACCTGGCTGACGGGCTGGTGCTAAGTGGCCTGGCTCCTTCTGCTCAGAGTCTCCAATTGCAAACCCTAAGCTTGTGTGAGGCACCTACGCCTCATCAGCTGTTTAGGTAGCCCATGCAACCCCCATTTGCTTTTTATTTGCCTGTTTTAGTATTATGGGAGGGGGACCCAAAATATTCTGCTTAGGGCCCCCAATGGGCTAGCACCGGCTCTGAGTCCTGACTTGCCCTCGGCTGACCCCAATGCTGGAGCGCTGCGGGGGGTGGGCTGCAAGGAGAGGCTCAGCCGGAGCAGGGATCCCTGCACAGGGCCTGACAGGGGAGTCAGGCACCAGCCTCCAGCGCTGCGAGGCTCAGGCTGGTAAATCTCCAGCGGGGGCGGCGCACAAACGCTCCTCCCGCCCTGTGCTGCCCAGGGCGGACACCCATCCTGGGCGGTGTCGCTGCCGCCTGCGGTGCGGGGTAAGTACCCGCGAGAGCTTCCCCGCCCGGGCGGACCGGCCGCAGGGGGCGCTGTGCAGCGCTGGCCGCCTTCCTTCCCCTCGGCCACGGCGCCCGCCCGGAGCCGGAAGCAGTGGCCTGGCTGGGGCCAGAAAGCGAAGGCGGCGGTTCGGCCGGAGGTGAGTGTCCGGGCGGGGATCGCTGGGCCCCGCCGGCCCCTCCCCGCAGCCCGGGCTGTCCAGGCGGCTCCGCCCGGACCCGGCTTCCCAGCCCTGACGCGGGGTCGGGGCCGCTGGGCTCTGTTCCCAGCTCCCTGCCCGGGCTCCGGTGCATGGGGCGAGCTCCGGGCCTGGGAGAGGGGCCCGCGGCGTCTCCCTGCCTCCCGGGGGGCCCGCAGAGAGCGGGACACTGGGGCTGGCGGAAAGGAGCGGGGGGCTAGGAGCGGGGGTCGGGCTTAGCGTGGCCCAGGGCAGTTGGGTTTCAGACTGACCGCGGCTTGGGGGTCTTCCCAGAGGGTGAAAGGGCAAAATCCTGGATGTTGATAAACGCGAGAGGGGTCCGAGACGAGCCGCGAGAACGAGCACAGCAGGCGAGAACCTGTCTCAGAGTGATAGGTGAGCTCCTGGGGGCTACTTAGCTTAACAAAGAGAAGGCTAAGGGATGACTTGGTCACAGTCTGTAAGTATCTGTATGGGGAGCAAATATTTGCTAATGGGCTTCAGTCTGGCAGAGAAAGGTATAACCCATTCCAGTGGTTACTGGAAGTTGACACTAGCCTTATTTCCTGTCTGAGTTTGTCATAATTTTTAACAGGGGAGTTAACCTCTGGAAGAAATTACCAAGGGTGGGTGGGGATTCTCCATCACTGGCAGTTTTTAAACTAAAATTAGATGTTTTTAAAGCTATACTCTAGGAATTATTTTGGGGAAGTTCTGTGTCCTGTGTTATACAGAAGGTCAGACTAGAGCACTGGTGGGCAATCTGCAGCCTGTCAGGGTAATTTGCTGGTGGGCCGTGAGACAATTTTGTTTACGTTGACTGTCCGCAGGCACGGTGGCCCGCAGCTCCCAGTGGCTGCGGTTCGCCGTTCCATGGGAGCTGTGGGAAGCGGCAGCCAGCCCGCTCCACTTCCCGCAGCTCCCATTGGCTGGGAACGGCGAACCACAGCCATTGGGGGCTGTGGGCAGGTGGCCGTGCCTGTGGACTATCAATGTAAACAAACTGTCTTGCGGCCCGCCAGTGAATTACCCTGACGTCCACATGCAGCCCGCGGGCCACAGGTTGCCCAACACTGGACTAGAGGATTCCAATGGTCCTTTTTCTGGCCTTGAAATCTCTAAAGCAGCATGATTTTTTTCTTCAATGGAAGCTATGCCTTCAGTCTAGGCTGTGTTTGTAGACACTGTGAGCCAGATTCTTCCCTCACTCTTTACAGCAAGCACCTGTCCCACTGAGATTAGGTTTGTATTGGTTTACATGAGGGGACTATTTGGCCACTGATTAATTGATCCTGCTCCCTGATATCCAGATGGACTTCTTTTTGTGTGATCTAGTGGCTTGCATCCTGAGTTCTACCCGAACTCTGTCAGAGTCCTTGTATAGTCTTGGACAAATCACTTGATTTCCATTTGTGTCTCCATTTTCCTGTCTGTAAAATGGGGATAATATCTACTTTAAGTGCTTTAGGAATTGGTTAATTGATTTATAAGTGCTTTAAAAATGAAATCTGAGAGTGCATACAATTTGCTTGCAAGAATGATAGTTGCTCTCTGGTACAGACAGGCAGTATTTGATATTTATAACAAATATTTTAAGTTCTTCCCTTGCCAAGTATAATAGCTTGAAGGGTTTTTATTTGGTGTAAATTCTTGGGATAGATACTGTGTGTTTTCTCACTTGATCCTGATCCTTGCTGCCTTCTATTAGTTTGCTAATGCCAATGCTGGCTTTAAAAAATGATCATCCTGTATTTTTGCTCAGTTCTTTGAGCCTAGAAACTGGTGGTAGATTCTCTTTTGAGCTTTTTCTAACTTTTCATCTGTTAAACTATGGCCTCATTAATGGGGTTATGGTATTTTTCTGACATTCATAGGATGCAACACAAATAATAGTATTCAAAAAGAGAGACTGACTTAGCTGTATATATGTGAGTTTACAGCTCTCAGTGTGTTAGATGTGAAGATTATTCTTGGTGGTGTGGGGAGAGGAAAGGAAACCCTGCCTAGTATAACTTGCCTTACCTGGTATCCCTCTCCATCTGTGCAATAAGTTATGAGTGCAATAACGCTGGTTTTATTTAATAAATTCTGCCTCAAACAAGGTAACCTCATGCCTCTTTAGATTTGAGGCAAGAGAGTTGCAAAACTGATCAGATTGTCAGACCAGTTTGGATTGCATCCATTGTTTAAGATGACGGGAAACCTTCCTCCTATTAAGTGATAGTCTGTAATCATAGAGAATTAGTGTGGTCATAAAATATTACAAATGATTAATGGAACCACCTTGTCAGAGGCAAAGTATGCTTCTGACAAATGTTTAGCACTGCACAGCCAACAGCTATTTATGAGCAATGTGGATTCTCTTCTGTCTCATATCAACAGAATGGTTAAGTTCTGAATACCATCTTCAGTGATGGAAAAGATAAAAAGAGTATAGTTTGGGAATCAGCACTTGTCATTAGAAAGTCACCTTTTGATTTGCAGGTTCTAAACATGGAACCCCTTTAAGTCATTTTTCTGCTTATAATTGCATTGAAGCTATAGCATCTTGTTTCCATACACTTCTGTAAGCTACAGGCGATGAGAAGAGTGCTAGCAAACTGAGTTTCTCTACAGATCCTGTGAATAAATTTAATATCAAGAGCCATAGTTGTCTAGTCCATGACTTTATATTCATGTTATTTCACTTTTGTTGTAGCATGAAAGGACCACAAAATTAGTCTCAATACCATGCAGAGAACTTATTCACGTATTAAGTACACTTGATAAAACAGTAGAACTATTTTGGTGATGGCCAGCAAATGAGTCTCTTGCCCACACTACATACACACCGGTCTGCTGCTCATTCCATGTTCCTCTCCAGTTTTTCCTCACAATTAAACTTTTTCTGGAGTTTCACCAGGTACTAGTGAATGAGAAGGGAAATACCATGTAGGTCTCAGGTTTTAATGTTGTAAATTAATATGCTGTGTTGTTTTTTTTGTTTTTTTAAATCATACTGCAAATAGTTTTGCTACTAAAAATCCATTCCATGGAAAATCTTTGGAGATGAAGTGTACATGTTTTCAGTTCAATGAACTTAATTAATCCAGAACCTCCAGAAAAATAACTTTTTGTATCACAATAGTGCCCGGAAGCCCAAGTTAATTTCAGAGCTCAATTGTGTTAGTGGCTGTACAAACACATAGTGCAACACAAATGCTCTCTTGCTTTCACCTGTCAAAGTGGAAATAAAAGTAACTATCAGAGTAAAAAGAGGAGGGATATTTCAGTTGTTTAACAATAGTATGGTTGTGTAGCACCATCTTATCCAAAGGTCTCACAGCATTTCTACAAACACTAACTATCTTCATGACCATTTTATGAGGTTAGAAGATGCCTTAAAATAAGGCACTGAGACTTGACATGGGTCACTCTGCAGATCAATGGCAGAGCCAGAAATAGAACCCAGGAGTCCTGTTTGGCCCTGCTTTTGAAAGTATGCGTATTTTTAACTTTAAGTACATGGCTGCTCCCATTGAAGTCAATAGGACTAGTATAAACAAATCTAATCATGCACAAAGTGTTTTCAGGATCAGAAGAGAGGCTATGCTTAAAGCAGACAGACAATCTTAGGTACTTGTATCATCCCCTTTACCGCCATATCTGAGCACCTCCTAATCCAGCAATCGGCAACGTTTGGCACGCAGCCCGCCAGGGTAAGCCCCTTGGCAGGCCGGGCCGGTTTGTTTACTTGCTGCGTCTGCATGTTCGGCTGATCGCGGCTCTCACTGGCAGCGGTTCACTGCTGCAGGCCAATGGGGGCTGTGGGAAGCGGTGCGGGATGAGGGATGTGCTCACCGCAGCTTCCTGCAGCCCCCATTGGCCTGCAGCGGCAAACCGCGGCCAGTGGGAGCCGCAATCGGCCAAACCTGCGGACGCGGCAGGTAAACAAACCAGCCCGGCCCGCCAGGGGGCTTACCTGGCGGGCCGTGTGCCAAACGTTGCTGCTCCCTGTCCTAATCTTTAATATAAATCTTCACGGCACCTCTGAGTATGGGGAACTGTGGCATAGTCAGAAACGCAAATCTGTAGCAGATCAGGAAATTAAACCTGGTTTTCTGCATCCCAGGCTGGCATCCTAATCCGTGAACCATCCTTTGTGTGTCATAAATGACACTTGCTCTGTATTTACTTATATCGATACAATCTCTCTAAAGTATTATTTTGAGAAACTGAATGTAGCTGAGAAGTATTTCAGCTGAATTAAAAAATAGTGTCAACAGATGTACTGGCTCTTTAAATTATTTAATAAGCTTTTTTTAATTACACTTATTCACTATTTGCCATCTGATGTTCAAGGGCAGTCACACCTGGGGCCATTTAAAACATACTCAATAGAAATGAGATCCTTTTCTTAGTGTTCTACCTTGGACTGTGAATGCATTTTTTGTTTATCATAATTTGCCTCCTGTTCAAGAAATCTTATTAAAGTAAGAAAAGCTCAAAAAAAAAAAAAGTTTTGATTAACCAGGACATGCACCCTCGGGGGAGAGACTACATGCATAACTGAGTAGCCCCCATCTAATCTCCTAAGTAACACTAAGTATGCAATTACTTAATCATAAAAGATTGTCAACATTCTCTCCAAGCAAAGAGAAACTAGCTAGAAAGCTTCAGAAATTCCCAGAGGCCTAAAGAAAGAGCAATTATATCCAGCACCAATGACTGGAACTGAAATGAAGTCTTACAGACTTCAGTTATTGCTGTGGGGTTTTTTTTGTTTTGTTTTGTTTTCTGCTTTGAACAAGAACATTTTCATAGTCTTAGGTCGACAGTTAAATAATATTTAATCACAGTTGTTATTGGCCAAGTGATTAGGGAGTTTTAACTGTCACTAGTAAAGAACTTCTATGCCTCAAGGAAAAATTTGGAATGAAAATCAACTATTACTAAGGGCATTAGCAAGAAAACAGAAATTCTGTTTTTTGCATTTCGTGTGCTCTGTTTGAATGTATTACATTTTGCTTCTCTAGCACCTTCCCATGTAAGGATCTCAATGTGCATTACAAATATTAGTGTAAACTTGCAACACTCTTTGTATTGTTATCCCCAAATGCAGTGGTCTCCAACCTTTTTGTGGCCAGTAGCACATTCATGTTTTCAGAAGTGTGTGGCGGGCGTCAACAATTTTTCAAGGCTTATTTTGTATCTGTACATTAAATAATACAAAAAACATCATATTTAATATTACATATTAATCCATAAGGTAAAAAAGGTAATTTTACATGTAAAAGGTATTAATTAAATTATTTGGCAAAATTAAGGAGTTTTTACAAAATAAATATCATAGACATTCGGTCCATTCCACGTTGGGGACCACTGCCCAAATGGGATGAAAGTGAGTGAGTCACAGA